TAGCACATATATGTGAGGGGAACCTTTACCTTATGTACAGTACAGGGGTGGGTTCTGGCTTCTTTTACTGCCGGTTCACTCGGGGATGTGCTTTGGGCATGTGCACACTTGATACGCGCTATGCACACATATGCAGAAGTCAAAAAATTGCTTCTGCCATTGCGCAAAAGCAAAAAACAAGATAGAACTGGTTTGGGCACGTGGCTGGCCAAACCAGGCTGAACCGGTAGGAACCCACCTCTGGTACAGTATGTATGTATGTATTATTAATTAATTAATTAATTGTTTAATTTATATGCTGCCCATCATAAATATCTGTCCTGTTGGTTTTCAGTTATATGTCAGGTCTTCTTGGGCAGAATGCCAGAATCAATGAAGCCATGGTGCAAAGTCCTTGCATTTATCCCCTGTGGTTCTTTTCGGTTATGAATTTCCTTTCCATATTCTTCCGAAAGGGAAGGAGAATTAGGAAAAACACTCCTTGTGAGGGTGTGCGTCTCTTGTAATTCTTTACTTACTTAGTGATGAGCAGCGTGCCTGAATGCTTGTTCTGTCTTTCAAAGTGCCTCTGGAGTCTTGCAGTGTCCTCAACTTAACTTGTGCTAATTAAATCCCCAGGGAAGACCTCACTAGTGAATTTGTCCCACGGCGCTCTTCAGATTAGCTAGGAAGACTTACAAGGAATAAAGGATGCTGAGTAGAAAACAACTGGCAGTATGTGTGTGTGTGTATATGTGTGTGTGTTTGTTTGTGTGTTCAGGTTTTTTTTTTTAAAAAAAACAAGCTGAAGTGACAGCCATCACCATAAGAACAAAGATCAACACAGTCTTGACTCTTTGGTCACCTCTGTAGATGGACCTACCGTATGTCACCTCTAGCAATAAAGAAGGTCAAAAATGGCCCCCAGAGACAAGGAGTAGAAGAAATTCTCAGACACCCAAAGAATAATATTGGAAAACGTGAGAGTCTTTTTGCAGGGGAAGAAAAGGTCGAAGAACTTGTGAGATGAATTTTGGTACACTGTTAGATCAAGGAACCTTACATAGTAGGAATAATCTCCCTTTTCTCCTTCTGGCTCTTAGAAAAAAGCTGGGTCCCATGAGAAAAGAAGCAGCCTTGCTTCCAGAGCAGTTTCCCAGCTTCAGAAACTTTAAAATGGGTGGATGTTTATGGCGATTCTCAATCATTCAAGTCATGGTTGTCCTAAAAGCACTTCCCCTCCCTTGAAAGTGTTCCCCTTCTCATCCAAGAAGTTTCTTCAGTTAGAATAGAATAGAAAAGAAAAGAATAACAATATATTAGAATAGAGTAGAATAGAAGAAAGAAGAACAGAAAAGAGAGGGGAGTAGAATAGAATAGAAGATAGAAGAAGAGAGGAGAGGAGAGAAAATAGAATAGTATAGAATAGAATTGGAATAAGATAGAATAGAATAGCAATACATTAGAATAGAGTAGAATAGAAGAGAGAAAATAGAGAAGAGAGGGGAATAGAATAGAAGATAGAATAGAAGAGGAGAGGAGAAAAGAGAAGACAAAGTAGAATAGAATAAAATGGTGTGGAATGGAGTGGAGTGGAATAGAATAGAATAGAATAGAATAGAATAGAATAGAATAGAATAGAATTCTTTATTGGCCAAGTGTGGACACACAAAGAATTTGTCTTTGGTGCAGATGCTCTCAGCATACATAAAGAAAGATACATTCATCACGAATCATAAGGTACAACACTTAATGATAGTCATAGGGTACAAATAAGCAATCAAATCACATTAGGAAACAATCAGTATAAATCATAAGGATACAAGCAACAAAGTTACAGTCCTGCAGTCATAAGTGGGAGGAGATGGGTGATAGGAATAATGAGAAGATTAATAGTAGTGCAGACATAGTAAATAGTTTGACNAATGTTTCAAACACTTTTTGATAAACCAGATCCCATTGTAAGGGTTGACTTGGACGGGGCTTTCCGGCAAGGTGTCTTGTTTTCAATAGGTCGGTAAGGGGTAAAGCCACCTTGGCAAAAGATGGTATGAACTGACGGTAGAAGTTGGCAAACCCCAAGAAGCTCTGTAATTGTTTCCAAGTTCTTGGAGCTTGCCAGTCCATTACTGCCTGTATCTTTGCTGGATCCATTTCTATTCCCGCCTTGGAAACGCTATAGCCTAAGTAGCCCAAACGGGTCTGGTGGAATTCACATTTGGATACTTTGACATATAATTGGGCTTTTAACAATTTGGTCAGAATGTCCCTTACCAATTTTATGTGCTGATCCATGGTCTTCATGTAAAGCAAAATATCACCCAGGTAAATGAGTACACCTTTATAGAGATGTTCATGCAGTACCTCGTTTATTAACTGCATGAACACCGCCGGTGCTCCCTGT